TCAATATATTTATTTAATATATAGTAATTTCTTATTTTGTATATAATTATAATTATATAACAACTACTTGATTTCAAATTCTCTTTAGCATATTATAATTATTTTATTTTCATATTTACTTAGTATAACTATTCAGCATTTATTTTGTATTAAAAATGGTTTCTACCTACTCAATATAACTATTTAGCATTTATTTTATTTTGAAAATAGTTCTATACCTATTCAGTATAACTATTTAGCATTCATTTTGTATCAAATATGGTTCTGTTCTACTTAGTATAACTATTCAGCATTTATTCTGTATTGAATATAGTTCCATACCTACTTAGTATAGCTATTTAGCATTCATTCTGTATTAAATATAGTTCTGTACCTATTTAGTATAACTATTTAGCATTTATCTTGTATCGAATATGGTTATGTACCTACTTAGTATAACTATTCAGTATTTATTTTATATCGAATATGGTTCTGTATCTACTCAATATAATAATTTAGCATTAATTTATTATATTAGGAAAACAGGTGTTGTTAGTGTCTAAAGCTTTTAATTTTATAAGATTTTCTATTTTGTTGAACTAATTCATGTTGATCTGTTATTAATTTAAACTCTGATTGGATATATATCATGTGAGCAGAACCCAAAACATTTTTTGTATTTACATCTTCATTGTAAGTTCTCACTATACTTCAGACAATAAACTTATTATTTAGTATATATATATTAGATTCAGTATATTATTTATAATTTTCTTTATTATTTTTAAATATATTTTTTTATAGAGTTGTCTTAATCTTTACCTAATATTAATATAAAAACATATATATAATTAAATTAAAAATCAATCTAAATTAGATAAAATGAAAATATTTAGCAACAGCATATAGTTTTGCACTGTTTGTAACAATCACAATTATATTTATATTTATATTCTTTAATTCATTAATCATATCTTCTATTTTTTTCATTACTTTAAGATAATTCTTTCTTTTTGTACTAATATCTATTGCTTTCCATATATAAGGTTTTTTTTTTAAAGTAACTACCATTACATCTATCAGTTGTTTATTATTAACATTTATTTATTTATCAAATATAAAAGTAGTATCAACAAAATTTTCATAAAGAGCTTCATACATTCCTATATTATATTCAGAAATAGCAACTTTTAAAGATAGTTCACTGAGAGTCTGATGATCTGAAAGTTTTATAAGAAGATTTAAAAAATTAAACAATTCATATGCTTCTAATTTATTTACCCAATTAAAAGCCCAACTATAAGCAATAGTAAGTCTTAACAAAAGGACTTTAAATTTTTTATAATCTTCTTGTGATAATAGATGAACAATATAATTGTCAAGTAGGCCAAAGAAAGAGGAAGATCATACAATAGTTTTTCAAGTAAATGATTGTAATAAAGTAGTTATGACATTATATGATGAACCTAAAAAAACATATTAATAAATATTTTATATATAGTAACTTAAATAAATTAAATTAATTTATTTTTACAAAAGAAGGAACCATCGATATTATACAATTAATTTTTTACTCAGTGTGCAATATATAAAAAAATTATTTTACAATACCAGATTATTCTGTTAGTACATGTTATAATTATAACTTCACATTATTTTTATTATTATAAAAATGATATGAGATTATAATTATAATATGTACTAATGGAATTATCTGGTATTGTAAAATAATTTTTTTATATGTTGCATATTGGGTAAAAAATTAATCATGTAACATTAATAGTTCCTCTTGTTTATTCTTACTAGATTGTTTAGTTAATTTATTATTAGACAAGTCAAAGACTTTTTGCCTCTTCTCAAGAGTTGTATATGTTTTATAAAATTTATGCATTTTTTAAGATGCCCAATAACTCTATCTTTTTTATTTAGAAAATATGTTTTTTTCTTATTAATCTTACTCAATACATTAACATATGCCTTACAATAAACCTTATAATTACTTTTATTAATCTTTTTTTTTATATTTCTAATAATATAAAGTTTTAACAAATCTATTACTACTTTACAGTTTTTTTTAAATTAGTAGCTATTTTGAAAAAAAACTCTCAATTTTATTAATATATTTATCTTTTTTATAAAAATAAATTTTTTTAGCACTAAATACAAATTTGTTTAGCAAAGTATAGTTTGTTAATTATTAATAAACACAGATTATTTATTAAAAAATTTAAAATATAAAAAGATGAACTCAACTAATAAGGTTTATATTATCATGTCAAAATTCTGACAAACAGAATCCAATAATAATCTAATGCAGACTAACTTGTTAGGATTTTGACCTTACAATTGACCCAAATTTGTTATTGCTTTATTTTATTTGGATTTTGTACATTATTTATAAGAAAACAGATAAGGCTTCAGCTTTGCATCATATGTTGCATGCATCATTAGCTTAATTAATCAGGTATTACTCTCAGTTAAGATCAAAATCTTGACAAACAGAATCCATTATCATTTTATTTATTTAGGCTTTATGTATTATTATATTATTGCTCTTTTCATTTAAGCTTTGTTTAAATACATATAATTTTTAAACACAATATGTAAACATTTGAACATTGTCTAATGATACAGAAAATCTGAAACAATATTTAAATTTTAAGTAATAAGACAATGCTATATTAGCATGTTTAATTTAGCTAGATTTGATCAATTTATGATTTTTTTTGTCTTCATGATTATAACATTAGTAATGGTTATATTTTGTGAAATTCATTGAATAACTACTTTTTTAAAAATAAACTACATGAAATTATCTTTGCTTATTTGTATAAACTATTGCCAATTTTTTTAATATGGTTATAACATATGTACTAATTACCAATGCATAGACATAATCAGTATTGTTATGCAGACATAGACCAGACAACTATGTTCAAAGCAAGATGACATTGTTTGATAATCAACCTATTAAATTCAATAATTCACTTTATATATAAAATATATTACAGTATATATTAATAAATTTTATTTATATATTATTACTATAAATATATTAATTTTACATCTTTGCCTTATACAGTAATGAACTCAACTATTGATATAGCATAAATTTATACTTAATCTTTTATTTTTTTTATTTTGAGATTCCAAGTTTTATTATACAACAAAGCAAAAGAAAAATATTAGCTTAATGATTGAAGCAAAAATAAAAAAAGAAATACAAATAAAAAAAAAAATAAACTAAAAAAAAAAACTAAAAACTGGTATACTTATACCAGTACTATATTCTCTCTGGCATTACCAACTCTATTTACATTTTCTAGTAACTTACAAGATGAAGGAGTAGTAGTTAGAAAATAAAAAAAAAACATAAAAACATAAAAATAAGAAAATAGAAATTAGCATACCAACTTTATTTATGTTCCACTGTGACCTACAAGAGAAAAAAAGTAGTAGTTAAAGAATGAAAGAAAAGGAAAACAAAAAAATATGAAAATAAAAAAGTAGAAACTAATATACTTATCTTATACCAGTACTATTTTCAGATCTTTATTACAAACTTCATTTATGTTACTCAGTAAACTACAAAAAAAAAGAAAGTAGTAGTTAAAGATAAAGGAAAAGAAAAACAAAAAACACAAAAACAAGAAATTAAAAGCTGATATACTTGTCTTATGCCAGTCTCTCTATTACTAACTTTATTTATGTTCTTTAATGACCTACAAAAGAAAGAAGTGATAGTTTAAAAAAGAAAAAAAAACAAGAAACACAAAACAAACAACATGAAAACAAGAAAGTAAAAACTGGTATACTTATTTAATTATACTAGTACTGTTTTTACCTGGGCTCAGATCTCTATTACTGACTTCATTTACATTCTCTAGTAATTTATAAAAGAAAGATAGTAGTTAAAGAAATAAAAGAAAAGAAAAACAGAAAAATGTAAAAAAAGAAATAGAAACAAGAAATAGAAACTAGTATATTTATCTTATATCTTAGTACTATTTTTTTCTAGGATCAGAACTTCATTGCTAACTCTATTTATGTTCTTCAGTGAAACTCAAATCTCTATTACAGAATTAATTTACATTTCCTAATGATCTACAAAAGAAAAAAGTAATAGTTAAAGAATGAAAAAAAAGAAAACACAAAAACAAGTAAGTAGAAACTGGTATACTTATCTAATAGTACTATTTTTCTGGATTCTAGAGCTTATTATATTAATAAGCCTGAAAAGAAAATAATGTTAGTAAAAAAACACATGGCTAAGTAAAGAAAAATTTATAAACTGGTACTTATATCAGTTCATTTTATCTGTCTCAATGAAACATTAACCTAAAGTGCCATTTTATAAAACAAAAAAAGTTAAATAAAAAAAAGTTTAATAAAAAAAATTAAGATAATAAAATGACAAGTGGTACATATGTATGTAAATCTAATGTTGAATATTGGACAATGTTTGCTAGACAATGTTCAACATTCAAGCATTTAATTAGGTAATCATTTCAAGACTGAAATGCTTATCCAATTAAATGCTTGAACATTAGACATTGTCTGCCAGACATCTGTATCTATTATTTTTTATGTAGACAATGTTTGATAACAATTTATATTTTTTGAACATATAGCAGACATAAATATTGGATAATGTCCAAATATGTTCATGTTTAAGTAATATTTATGAACAGTGTCTGTATACATTACTGCCTATAGGTCTATAGACTTTTCTGTTAGAAAATTTTGATAGAGTTTAAAGAACTTTTTTTTTGCTATAAAGAAGTTAAGAAAGTTATACTATTAAGTATTAATATATAGTTGTAATTGATATTATATATGTTAAAAGCTATTAAACAAAGCTTGGTTAGTTGGTTAATATACAGTCTAGTTATAAAAGTAAGATTGTATATGCTTTTTGATAAAAGTAGAGTCTGTAATGAGTTAGTTAAAAAGTTTAATATTGAAGAAATAAATTAAGACTTAGTATTAATTAAAAATGCTATTTATAGCTTGTTTAAGATGTGTTAAGTATTTTACATCTTTTTTTTATAACTTGTTGAATTTGTTAATAAAATAATAGTGAGTTTTTTATATAATAAGCATAATATAGTTGTTTTTAAATATCTTATATATGTTAAATCTGTATATAGATTTGAAAGTGATTATCTGTATTAAGAACTTAAAAGTTGCAATAGGATCTGTTATTAATATTCTAAATTTTAGAGTTTATTATATTAATATTAAGATTGTTGTAAGTTTGTTTAACAATCTTTATTAAATGTTTAAGCTCTTTAAATAATATGTAAAGTAAAATAAAATAAGAGAAATATTAATAATTGTAGTTATATTATAAGTTTTTTTGTTAAAGATAAAATATATTGCAGTATTATTGTATATTCAATCTTGTGCTAAGTGGCTTCAATGTTTTTATAAGTATTGTTAGTAAGTGAAATATTGTATAAACTAAGAAAAAGTCAGAAAATCCTGTCTATTTGTTTGTTAACATAGCTTTGTAGTTAAAGATTCTATAATTAATGCTGGTATAATGAAAAGAAAGTTTGCTATATGCAATAGTAAAGGTTCAAATAGATGTAAAAATAGAGTGATTACTAAGTATTGAGATATTGCTATCATCAAATTTATATAAAAGAAAAAATTAAATATTAAATAAGCCAGTTTAAATATAATTAATATAATTATAGCTAGTATTAATTGATTATATATAGTACTTGTTATCAATATGTATATTAAGATTAAACATGTTGAAATAGTATAAATAGTTAATAAGTTGAAAATTGAATAATAAGCTACAAATATTATTATATATATTAAAGTTTCTAAGTATTATTAAATGCAAATTGTATTGATAAATTTGTTGAATCTATATAATAACAGTATTTGATATATTGTTATATTTTTTTATATCAGTAAAAAAAAGATAAACTGCTATAATTCAAAGTTTAATTTTACTTTTAAAAAAGAGGTTCAAAGTAATTGCTTCATTAGAATATGTTTAGTAATTATATATGTAAGATTGTAGATAATTATAGATCATAATAATAGCATCTTCTTTTGAGCTTTTTAAGTTAGACCAGAAGTAAGTAAATAAGTTGTTGTTATGAAAACAAAGGTTAGTATTGTTAGCAATTTTGGTTTTAGTAATACAAATAATGTAAATATTATTATGAAGATAATAATTCTGCCAAGTTTTTCTATTAGTTACTATATTAAAACCTCTAATATTATGTATACAGATGTTTAAATAACAGTTATATAAAGATTGTATTAATGTAAATACTTGTAGTATTATATAGCTATTAAGAAATAAATCAAGCAAAATAGGAGTAAAATTAAAAGAATTTGATCTAAAAGAAAAATTATAGAAGATATAAAGAAGATAAAAGTAAATAACAATATGATTTGACAAAAAGAATTATTAGAAAGATATATATGAGTTTTATAATAGGTATTACTAATCAAAAAAATAATACTAAAAATAGTGTTATTGTGATTATGTTTGTCAATATATTGTATAAAAGATTGAATAGTTTGATTATAAAAGAGAAGTAGTAAGTTGTAATAAAGAAAAAAATTTTAAAACATATATAAAAATTATAAAAGCTTAAAGATATTGAAAATGATCTTTAAGGTTGTCTTTTACAAGATCAATCACTATGTGCTCAGCTTTTACAACTGTACAAAATACTATAATTTTCTCTGTGCATTGGATCTGATTATTATTATTCTAGTTTTTTATATAAATAGGCTTTATTATATGTCTACTTATATTATTTTTTTATTGATTACTGTGAATGTATTATTTAATAAGATGGTGGCTTTATCTATGAATTTTGTAAAAGAAAAATTTATTAAAAAGGAGCTTGTTCTTTT